GACATTGCCCCACCGCCCTCTCGTTTCAGCGAGACCTCCTCGCCACTCTATCGCGGAGACGGATATTCGTAACCGAAATCGACTTCATCGGAAGAGGTTCGCAAGAAGGTGGTGCTTACGGCGATGTCGTGGTGGCTACGTTCATCCGGGCTGGCGGTAGTCGAGAAGGAAAAAGAGTGGCCGTGAAGAAGCTGCGATTCGTTTTGAATGGCGATATAACTGAAGAGAAGTTCCTTCGCGTAAGTCCTCCCGCCCGTTAATGCCTCTCGACCTGACTCAGTCCTCTTCAGATATTTGTCAACGAGTTGCGTGTACTGGACAAGCTATCTCACCCCAATATCGTAGAGATCATTGGGTTTGTGGAGGACGTCGAGAATCGCATTGCCTGGTTGGTGTTCCCATGGGAGGAGAACGGCAACCTTCGGGAGTTCCTTCATTCAGGCGAGTGGGAGATCCCCGAACGCGTGTCGCTAGTGCGTCATAAACAGCGAGGGAATCAGATGCGGACCTGACCTTCACTGCGCATTAGATTCAGGATGTTGCGCTTGGACTAGAATACCTTCACACTCGCCAACCTCCCATCTGCCATGGCGACCTCAAATCGGTCAGTTTCGCTACACGCCATTCCTCTGATATCTACTTACTTCGATTACTGCTCAGTTGAACATCCTAGTCAACTCGTCAAATCGCGCTGTCATCACCGACTTTGGCTCGGCTCGAATTATTCGACGGACGCAGGAAGTCGGTTCTAAGCCAGTAACTCAACCAGCTGGCCCAGCGAGCCATAATCGTCCAGACAAAAACGACCTTCCTCAGGTGAAGATTACCGCGTCCGATACCACGCTTACGTTGACAGGTCCGGCCTGCTCGCTGCGTTGGTCGCCACCGGAGATCTTGAAGGGAGAATCGCTGGACCTAGCAACCGACATCTGGGCGCTGGGTTGGGTGGCGTGGGAGGTGAACTTGCAAGTCTAATCCACGTGGCGATCATTTGACCCTTACTCTCTTGTCCTGTCTCAGGCTACCACCGACCGTTACCCTTTCGAGGAGCTCAATGAAGAGTGGGACATCACTATGAAAATAGTCGAAGGCCGACTGCCAGTGACCCGTGACCATACTATACTTTCCCAAATCTATCGTCTCCGCGATATGATGCAGAAATGTTGGAAACTTGAACCGAGGGAACGACCGTCTGTAACAGAATGCAGGAAAGCCCTTGATTTCATGGTAAGTGGGACACCACTCAGGTGAGACTCAGATAACGAGGTTCATTTGAAACAGCCACGGGTCATCCCAGGGGTGAAAAGCGGGAAGGAATCCAAGATTCGGTCCGCTGCCCTGTTACTAGAAGTCGGGGAAATGCATCGTTTGCAAGCCAGACACGAAAAAGCTTCAAAGGCGTATAATGAGGGCTTGACCATTGCTCGGTTGACTGGCGACCAACTTACCGTAGGAAGCATATTAGTCAAGCTGGCATACAGTTACCGAGACCGGTCGAAGTATGCCGAAGCAGAGGCTTCTTACACAGAAGCGCTCGCAATTTTTCAGAGCATCAGGAATGACCTGGGCCGAGCGAGCGTATTACTTGGGCTTGGGTACGTCCAGCAAGCGCGGTCCAAGTACGCCGAAGCAAAGGCGTCGTACACCCAAACGCTGGCCATCTACGAGAACGTCGGGGATGACCTGGGCCAAGCGAACGCATTGTGTGGTCTTGGGCACGTCCAGCTCGTGCGGTCCAAGTACGTCAAAGCGGAGGCGTCGTACACCCAAGCGCTGGCCATCTGCGAGAGCATCGGGAATGACCTAGGCCGAGCGAGCGCATTGCGTGCGCTCGGGGACGTTAGGCGAGGGCGGTCCAAGTACGTCGAAGCAGAGGCGTCGTACACGCAAGCGCTGGCCATCTACGAAAGCCTCGGGAATGCCACGGGCCGAGCTGGCGCATTGTATGGGCTTGGGAACGTCCAGCGGGCGCGGGCCAAGTACGTCGAAGCGGAAGCGTCGTACACACAAGCGATGGCTATTTATCAGAGCATCGGGGAAGCCACAGGCCGAGTGAACTGCTGGTTGCGGCTCGGTCAAATCCGGCTCAGCCAAGCTCGACATGCAGAAGCAAAGAGCTTAGGTAAGGGAGCTTCAGTAGCCTCGGAACGAATTGATTACGGATGGGGGAAGAGATTTTCGAAACAGCTTCTGGAGGAAGTCAAGAATTCTCAACTGAGCTACCATTTATACCTCAGAGTTCGTCAAATACGGCGCACTCTGAGAACAGCCTCCCCCGGAAACCTATGATCTTAGACTACCGATCCATTCACTTGTTATCCACTACCCAACCCTCTCGCATTATTCTTCTCCTTCGTCCTGCTTTGCAGCTGTCGTTCCTTTGTTTTGGTAGTGGATTCAGCGATTTGGCTCTGATCGCCTCTATGTTGTTTGCAAATGTACTTTCGAGAACGTGAATAAAGATCTCCTCGCCGTGCGCAAGCTATCTAGATAAAGAGACCAAGCATGCGGCCTCCTTCTTTCGCCTTGCGCGCCAGCGTCACTCAGCGGTGCAATGAGCCGAACTGACCGAAAGAGTAACCACGAATTCGAATCCTCGCTCCGATGATCTGTACAAAATACCCAGTTACTCAAAAGTCTCTGGGCTGTCAATGTATTGTGAGCGTAAATGCGGTAGGCTAATTGCTCGGTAGAAATATAGTGCAATAAAGTCGCAAACACGACGGTAACATGAAAATCGACAGGATCCGGATAGCAAGACGACTTCGCATTTGATTGCACACCACTCCCAAGGTGTTGCCAAACCAGAACAAAAGTGAAGCAGACGCGAGTCGCAGAACACAAAACGAAGATTCCGAGTGGGAAGCCGATACACCGGTGAAGAGGCTGAGTTGAACGAGTTGCGGGAGGGTTTTCGGCTAAATTACAGTAATGGCAATCGTCGTCGGTTTCGCCTGCCATGTGGCGACGAAGCTTGTCACGTGATCTGTACCACATCCGACGCATTCAACAGCATTTCATACCACGTTTCTTAACCCGATCGAGGCAGGGTGAACTCCTAGGTGACAATAGTCTTTTCTGCAGTGCAATGCGAGGCCGCGAATATGGTTGGTTTTTCCTGAGGCGGGGTGCCAGCGTCCGTTTTTCCGCCAACCTCGCTGACAATATTGTCAGCGAGGTTGGCGGAAAAACGATTACAACTTGACTTCCACGAGTATTGACCGTCTTCAATCATGCCCCGTTCCACTGAAGAGTACTAGTCTTCGGATCCGTGGAGCCAAGTAGTAGTTTACAGAACCATCGACGTCATCCGGGCTTCTACCGGTACATCAGACCCTGATCACATCAGCAGAAGCCGGACCATCTCATTTGCTTACTTGCTGACACCTGCTCAGCCGGAACCTCGACTCCTCTCAGTATAAAGCCCAACGCCTAAATGGCGGACTCTGCAGCATCAACAGCTTTGTTTCCTGCATCAGCGAGGACCAACTCTTCGTTCAACAGCCTCTTCCGTTGCTAAGCACAACATTACGACTGCCGCAATGTCTTCAGCTGCATCCACGTCCGCCTTGTCTCCTCTCTATCCCAACGTCAAGCTTGTTCCTCGTCCCAACACTGAGCGTGGTGGAGGTAGGTTTCTAACAGGTTGAATTTTTCAGAACTGGTAATCTGACCCACCGTTCATAGCCAATCATGGTTGGTTGAAGACCTTCCACACCTTTTCCTTTGCCGGTTACTGGGATCCTCGATATGACTCGTTTGGCAACCTCCGAGTTATCAACGAAGACCGTGTCGAGCCTAGTGAAGGCTTCGGGACTCACGGTACGTCCCGACTTCGAATTAAATCCTTGTTATGGAGTGTATATTGACTATTTGAATTTCCGATGATAGGTCACCGCGAGATGGAAATCTTCTCATACGTCGTCTCAGGCGAACTTGAGCACAAAGACAGCATGGGCAACCTCGAGATCCTCAAACGTGGCGACGTGCAACTCACTTCCGCTGGAACTGGGATTCGTCATTCGGAGTACAACCGCAACAACAAATCCGTCGTCCACTTCCTCCAAATTTGGGCCGAGCCACACACCCGCAACTTGCGGCCCAAGTACTTTACTCGTCACTTCACCGATGAAGAGAAGACCGACAAGCTCGTAACAGTCGTTGCACCCGTTGGAAGTGAAGGTGTCAAGGAGGAGCGGGAAGGGAGCGGACCTGCACCTGTGCAGAGCAACGTGACTCTCAAGTCCACCATCCTCACCCCCGGAAAGACCGTCGAACACGTCTTCCCCGCTCCTGCATCGGGCGAGACTCAACGAAAATCATACGTGCACGTCATCCAGACAAGCGGATACAATACCGGCGCAGCCAAGGGTAACCGTATGTCGTTCCGCTCTAATTTTTGAAATTTGAAGACTGACTTGTATGAATTCTTATTATAGGAATCCGCGTGAACGGTGGCCTCGAACTTTCCGAGGGCGACGGTTCGTTCGCTTGGGGCGCCGTTGGTGACAAGTTGCAAATTGAGAACATCGGCACGACCCCTGCCGAAGTGTTGGTCTTCGACATCGAGTAAATGGAGTAAAAAAAAAATTCGTCGGGAATGCTCTCAACTATGTATCGGACGATTAGATTGTATTGTATAGAGTTAGAATTTAGGACTTATTTTACTTGTTTCAAACTCAGCGAGTGCCTCAGGTTAAGCATCGTTCGACTTGGAATTCTCTCGCTCTATTCGGTCCACAGCGGCCCTCATCCGCTCTTGAACCTTGCCTTTGTTCATTTGATTCAGTCGGTCCCATTTCCTATCGCCATCCCAATATACGCGAAGGCGCCAAAGGCTGCTCCACCAAAATGAGCCCAATGGTGGAACATCCTGTGCAAACAACAGAAGTCCAGGTAAGACAGTCTAGCGTTAATCGAATGCTGTCGAACGCATGGTTAGTTGATTCTCCGTTTATTACCCCCAAGCAGATAAGCCTTAAGGAAGGGGGAAAAGTGGAGGGCCCATCCCGGGATCGAACCGGGGTCGTCGTAAAGTCTGTCGGCGCATGTAGGCCCGGTCGAAATCCGATGTGATAACCGCTACACCAATGAACCCCCCAAGAGAGGAATGGAAACGCACCGCCGAAAGCTGAAATGTGTACAGGTCACGTGAATGGCCCGGCATCCATGCGGCAGCGGGAACCCCCAAAGTTGAACGAACCCCCCTAAATAACCCATTACTCGGATGGCAGAAGTCTACATGAAAGTATCTATCATTCGATACTACTGTGTACGGAAGGAGGACCGAATAGAGGTTTGACTACAAGGCATTTATGTCGTCCTCTTCATCTCGCTCGGTGACCGGCAGCGGGACATTCAACGCTGGCGGAAGTACTCAATGAACACGTCTCCGTCGTCAGTCTTTCCACATTTTGCCGAGAAAATCCACTCTCCGAGAGGGGCCGTGCGGAGAACGAGGGAGAACCTCGCAGAGGACCGCCAATGCGGGCTCCATCTCGACGCGGCTTGCTCGACCCAAGCCTATCATGCAACGAGTGTGAGCGTGGACGAAATAAAGAGGGAAAGGAAGAAGTCATCACTCGCCTGTATATCTTTGCAGACGGGGTCTTCCGCTCTCGCAGTCAACTCGATCACCAGACTCTGTAGAGTTGACGACCCCGTGGTGAGAGACTGGATCAGAGCGCCACCGTCCCACTCCAACCCCGTGGCGAGCGCGAAACGCAGATTCGGAGCATGTAGAAGCGTAAGCAGCTCAACCGGTCCTTTGTATTCCATCAGGTCTGGGAGGTTCACCGGGGTGTCTCCTTGGGCCGGCGCCCATGTTTGGATCGTTTCGTCGACGCTGAGAGTCTTGAGCTTTGAGCAGCGGGTGAAGTAAGATATTACATTTTCCTTGTCGAAGGAGTAAGGTTGATGGTCTGTTATGGTAAGATGTTGCAGTGGTGGAAGCGGTAAGGTCTTGGGGAGCTGCGTTATGGCCCCAAAGGACTTTCCGCACAAGGCCAGCGTTTCAAGGGAGGGTAAAAAGGCCAAGAACGTAACCTCTCGAGGGAGTTCGCGCCGAATCCGAAACGCGTAGTTGAGCTCCAATTGCACGGCTTTTATGGGCAGGACCTGGATCACGTCGCATACGTCCTTATCCCGAAGGTGCGAAGGGAGGGGTCCCAGGCCCTTGGATGATCTACAGCTCCGGATTTTTAGGCGCCGTATATTGATTCGGATGATGGTCTCGAGGATGTTAAAGTCGAGCGAGATGTCGACCAACTCCAGTCGCTCCTCTAGCCACCCGCCGTCTCCGATTAGCCAAGGGATTAGGGCCGTGGCAGCCTCGCCCATGAATAGAAGTTCTGTTCGAGGCTCTCCTCCACGGAACTCTGAAAACCTCGTCAAGTCTACTGAACCCTTGGGTGGTCTGCGGCGCGATATGATGTGCAACCTCCTCCGCACCTGCTCCCCAACCATATATAGCGCCCGGCATGTTAGCCGCAAACTCTTAAATGCGCATCCATACCACGGCTGGCGGAAAATACCAGGATCGCGCAACGTAACATAGTCCTCAACGGCTCCGTGTAGTAAGACGAGGAAAATTTGCTCCCATAGCTCGAGGGGAATGGGCGGGATATTGAGGCTGTGCGCAGCTGGGATAGGCTGCGGAATCTGGACCACTTGGTCCTGGGGAGAATGGTTTGCGGAATTTGTCATTTTGATCATTAATTTTGGGGGCTTCTTTTTTTGTCAAGGGATTTTGGATGGGGGTTGCAATTGGGGGGTTTGGTCACTGACGTTGAATGGGACGGCTCGGCAGGCGGGTGACGACACCCTCCTGTCACGTGTCACGATGAAGGCCGCGTCATTTTGTCTTTGCCTTGGATAGAAAGCAGGTCGTTCCGTTAGAAACGCAAAAAGCACCATGTCCGGCAGTTTTTGCACGACGCTTGTTCACGGGTTCACTGCTGAAGGTCCTCTCTTCACCCTTCACATTTTCCGTAAAAGGCATATATGATGGGTCCTCGCCTAAGCTAGGAAGTGATGGAGGATTTACCGTCGCAGGGTCCATGAGGTTTCGGCACCTCAAAGGTTGTTTTGTCGTGGGGGAGGACCTTCCTAAACAACGCGGCAAAGAGTCAAGGTTTGTCACCTCCCACCATCCCAAAAAGGCAACCACGAGACCTCCGAAGGCCGCGCAGCCCGCACCACAAACAACGGTTCCGCAATCCGGTTTTTACTCTTTAAACCAACCACACCTCCCACAAAATCCTGTACAGCATTCCTTCCCCCCACAACATTTTCTTGCATACTTACTTATCACACCCAAGTCATTCTCACAAGACGCGTAGTAATCCAGCAAAAAACCGACCCACAACGTTTTTATTTTCATTCACGAACAAAGGAACAAAACAACACCCCCGTTCAATAACCGACGCGTACTAGTCCATGTCACAATACAGCGGAAGCAGCAGAGGAGGTAGCAGAGGCGGTCGAGGCAGAGGTGGCGGTGATACCAGAGGCAGAGGAGGCGGACCCCCCAGCGGGCGCGGAACGGCTTTCCAAACTGCGGGCCCCGCCGGACGCGGTGGTGCGCCGAGTCGAGGGGGTCCTCCAGCCGCCGGACCACCCCAACAACAACAATTTCCAGGTGCAGACCGAGGGCGAGGACGAGGGAGAGGCGGCTTTCCACCTGGGCCAAGAGGCGGGGCACCAGCGCAGTCAACCCCCAGCGGACCTTCCGGGGTCCAACCAACCCCGACCCAAGTGGCCATCGCGCCTCACGTGAAAGCTCTCGGTGAGTAATTTGGAACGTTCTATCTAACGCGAATAGATCGCGTGACCTCTATTTTGTCAAAAGGCGTCAAACGTCCCGCATTTGGAACACGAGGCAACTCGATCCTTCTAGATATCAATGCTTTCGAAACAAAGATACCCGAAGGACTCATATACCATTACACCGGTACGTTAGTATGCACCTTGCACCTAATGAGCCACTAACTAATCTCCCCGCAAACGTGCCATTTGCTTCTTCACAGTCGGTAAGTGTCCGGATCATTATGGAAAACTTCCATGAAGTGCATCGACTAACTGTGTCCCTTTCAACAGAGTTCAGTCCCCAGGCGGGAAGCAAGCCCCTAAAGATGGAGCTCTTCCGAAAGGTGCAAGCCCTGCCCGAGTTTCTCCAAGCCTCGCATGGAAAGAAAGGAGTGTACGATAGCGACAATCAATTCTTCTCGACAGTTTCGCTGGGCGACAACTGCCAAGTAAGGAATCATTTTCTCCCCCCTTCCCGCTTCGCCAGTGAGGACTCTTGGAATTGATTTTTGACATTCGTGTTCTTTTAGTTTCAGCTTCAAGATCGCCGGAAGACGTATTCGGTCAGGCTGACGCAAGTAGCGACGATCAACCCTCAGTGAGTTCTGTCCAAAAAAACAAACAAACATCACTTCCACCCTCTAACAATTATATACTCTGTTTAGAATCCTTGTCGAATACGTTCAAGGTCAAAGGGAGCGTGAGGACCACGTTACGACCGTCCTCACCGCGTTCAACGTCGCGATCCGAATGGGACTTATGGAGTACGTTGGCCAGATTTGGCTCAGAATGGGCAGTTTTTTTCTGACGTATTATGAATATCTTGCAGGAAGTTCCCACTGTATAACCGCAACTCGTTCTTCATCCGGGAGGCCGAAGTCAGAGGCTTCAAGGATAGAAAGTACGACGGTCTTGAGATGTGGCGCGGTTTCTTCCAGTACGACCTTTGTTTTCCTCCTACTCGCACGGGATTTTTTTTCTGACGCACTCCTTGAACAGATCTATCCGGCCGGTCATGGGCAAGATGATCATCAACATCGACGTTTCAACCGGCGTAGTCGTCAAAGGCGGTCCCTTGATCGCAATGGCCCTGCAGTTCTTCAAGCAGCCTGTCAACAACGTGCAGTTCCTCGCGAACCTGAATCCTCGAGACAAAACAGCCCTCGAACGGTTCTTGAGAGGCGTCAAGTTCGTCACCAACGACGCCCCGGACGCTCGGCCTTCGTCGATCAAGAATCTGACGAGCGCGAGCGCGGAGCAATACAAGTTCAAGAAGGATGATGGAAAGGAGATTTCGATTGCGGTAAGAATTCGTTCCCCTCTCTTCTTTTTGCTTTCGTGCATTTCGGTATGGGGGAACTCATCCGGCGTCACCCCTCTCCCCTACATAGCAATACAATCAACAAAAGGGCACGCCCTTGAGATATCCAAAGTTGCCTTGCGTGGAGGTAAGCGTGCACACATTTCTATATTGGCGTTCTCCTTCACTAAACACGGTTTTTTTGCACCTGTTCTTTCAGAAAATCGGGATGTCCAAAGCAGTATACCCAATGGAACATTGTATCGTTCGCGCGCAGCTGCTCCCGAAGCAAGTCGAGTCGGATCAGATCAACGATGTTCTCGGCTTCTCGACCATGAAGCCACATATCCGTCTGCAAAGGATCCGAGAAGGTTTCCAGGTATGGAGCTTTGTTTTATTCGCGAGCAACCCCATACTAAGTGCTTGACCTCTAATTCTCCCCCGTCTCCCCCCACTCACAGTTCCTCGAATACGGTCAAAACGAATACCTCCGCGACTTTGGCATCTCCATCGACCCGAACCCGCTCAGAGTGCAAGCTCGCGTCCTCCACCCTCCCGAACTGCAGTATAGCGGGAAATTCGAGAGACCTCAAGGCGGTAGCTGGAGGACCGGAAAGTTCTTCGCGGCTAAAGAAGTCAAAGGCTGGGTTATCGTCAACCTTTCTGGTAATTACCCGGGCCTGGACGTGCCACGGATCGCGCAAGATATTCGACAGAGCTGTACTACCCAAGGGATGAAGTGGACGAATAATCCCCCCATCAGCTTTGCGAGGAATCCGATGAGTGATCCCGAAGTTGTGAGTACTTTTGGCAGAGGCTGGCGGGTTCTTTTTTCGGAGGGGATTTTCGATGCTGATGCTAGAATGTCTGTAGGCTATCAAAGAAGCGTTGGCGGAGCACAGGAAGAAGGGAGGCGATGCCAACCTCATCATTGTTATCATTCCGGATGAAGGAAAGGACTTGTACTACAGGATCAAGCAGTGAGTTCTTT